AATTATCGTCATCATCAGCATCAGTATCATCAGCAGCATCGTCATTACCAGCAGCGTCATCATCATCATCATCATCATCATCATCATCAGCATCATCACCACCATCAGCAGCAGCGTGATCAGAATACTCATAATCATGATCATCACCATCAGCAGCAGCATCAACATCAGCAACATAATCAGCATCCTCATCAACAACCAAATCAACATCAACATCAGCATTAACATCAACAACATCATCATCAGAATCATCAGCAGCAGCATCAGCATCATCAGCATCAGCATCATCCTCATCACCAACATCATCATAATCATCATCAGCAGCATCAGTATCATCAGCATCATCATCAGCATCATCATCAGCATCATCAGCATCATCAGCAGCATCAGCATCAGCATCAGCATCAGCATCAGCATCATCATAATTATCATCATCAGCAGCATCATCATTACCATCGTCATCATACTAATACTTATCAGCATCATCATCATCCTCATCATCATCAGCAGCATTATCATCGTACTAATACTTATCAGCGTCATCTTCATCATCTTCATCATGATCATCAGCCCCCATATACGCATGCTCCCTCCAATCCCTGCTCCCTCGTCCTGCTCCCTCGTCCTCCGCCGCTCCCGTCGCACAACCAGGCGTGTCCGTAGGCCAGCCACGCGTTTCGCCTGAGACTTCCTCGCCAAGTATTAAGTCGGGCATGTCCCCCTACAGGGGGACTTCAAAGGACAAATAAAAAATAGTTGCTACAACATGTTCAAAAATAGTCCAAAAACAATCAAAAATCTGCCTCTGACTATTTTTTGACTGTTTTTGAATATTCCTCCTGTAGAGGGACAGGCCATGATCCTGAAGCTTGCAACTTGCAGCTTCAAACACGGCTCTCGCTTCGGCTCCGCGCACATTCGTCTTCAAAACTTGAAACAATTTCAAGGGTGGGGGCCGGTACGCTTTCAAAGTGTGGCTCTCGCTGTAAAGCCGCGCACATTGGTCTTAAAAACTTGAAGCAGTTTCAACAGTTTCAACCCAGCCCTCACCATCGTTTGCAAGACCCTCACCATCAAACTATCCTGGCGAAGGGCCCAACCATCTGCGGGCACCGCGAGGCAAGAAGAAGAAACAGGGGGGGTGGAGTGAAGGGTGTGCCGACATGGGGCGGGTGCGTCATGCGGACCCTGCCACTCGGGCCATGGGTGGAACTCCTTATATGGGCCACGGCACATGTGCGGAGTGAGCCGAATCGGATGCGGGTACGCCATGTGGACCCTGCCGCTGCGGCCATCAGGGGAGCTCCCTTTAGGACCACGGCACGTGTGAGGCGTGAGAAGAATCGGATGCGGGTACACCATGCGTACCCTGCCGCTGGGGCCTTCAGTGGAGCTCCCTTCGGGGTTGCGAAACGTGTGATGGGTGTGCCGGCTGGGGTGTGGGTACGCCATGCTGACCCTGCCGCTAGGGCCTTCGGTGGAGCTCCCATCGGGGCCTCGAAACGTGTGAGGGGTTTGCGGAATCGGGTGCGGGTACGCCATGCGGGCCCTGCCGCTGGGGCCCTCGGTGGAGCTCCCTCTGGAGGCACGAAACGTGTGAGGGCTGTGCTGAAATGGGTGCGGGTACGCCATGCGGACCCTGCCGCTGGGGCTTTCGGCGGAACTTCCTCCGAGTCCACGGCACAAATCGTTTTCAACAAAGTACTTCTCGCCCTACAGCCGTGCATACTCGGCTCCCAACTTGTCCTTAGCTGCGCGAGTGGATGGCGAGTCGTTTCAAAGACGTATTGGAGCCTCCCCACGGCCTCGCGCACATTCGAATACAAAGCCCACAATCTACACTCACTTGACCCTTCCTCAACCTCCACGACACGGCGCTCCATAGTGTGCAACAGCTAACACGGATGGGTGGCGGGCTCCTCTTCCGAAACGGGGCGCTCGCGTGAGAGGCCCGCGAAGAACACGTCCACGACTTTGACATCCTGCAACTATTAGACGGATGGAGGGCATATTATTTTCAGAATGACACTACCGCTGAGCCTCCTTGAAGGGGTCGTTCGTGGGATTTCGGCGGCGCATACGTCCACGACTTTGACATCCTTGAACGCTTAGACGGATGGAGGGCGTGTGCTTTTCAAAAGGAGCCGACACTGGACGTTCTTCAAACGGAGGGCTGATCATTTGCAACAGGCGGCCCTTGATTGGCGGACCGACGGGCCGCTCGTCGTTCAAGAGGGGTCGCCCGCAGTAGTGAGAAATGTTTTGGACTTAATGAGGAAAGGACTTTGGAAGGGAGGGTGCACTGCAGAGCGCCAGTGGAGGCATCTTGGGTTAACTCTGGTCCTCATCCTCCTCCTTATTCTCCCTCTCCATCCTCCCTCCTCCTCGATCCTCCCTCCTCATCCTCCTCCTCGAATCCCTCCTCCCGATCCTCCTTCTCATCTGCCCTCCCTAACTCCCTCTTCCACCTATCCCTCCTCGTCTCTCCTTCCTCCGTCCCCCGTCCTCACACAAGCCGACGCGTCGGTAGGGCGGGCGGTTGAGTATCCCACCACTTGGAATGCCTTATAGCTGACATGATGGTACTGCTCGAATGATGAAGGACGGGCCAACTGCAAAATGCGGCTCTCGCGTCAGCACAGCAAACATTCGTCTGAATCGTTCTGGATGGTCGATACTTCGGCCGCGCAGCCCGACCAGCTGCGAGCGTGGCCGCTGGCTAGTGGACACGAATGGGAACTAGCCTCGAGCATGTTGGCGAAGCGTGTGAGAAGTTCTTGCAATATATATATATATATATATATATATATATATACGGCGAAAGATAAGTAAGGCAATCAGTGTGGAACAATCTGGTTGGTTCCATCCACGTTGTGCAATCCATGTGGTGCAGCCCATGTGTTGCAACGCATGTGGCGCAAAGCAGTACAACGCAGCGCAAAGCACTGGAAAGCAATGCGGAACAGACAAGCACTATCCTGGCGAAGGGCCCAACCGCGAGGAAAGTGAGGAGAAGCCAGCGGAAGGAGTGAGGGGTGTGCCGACATGGAGCGGGTGCGCCATTCGGGCCCTGCCACTCGGGCCTTGGATGGAGATCCTTGCGGGGCCACGGCACGTGTGAGGAGTGTCCCGAATCCAGCGCGGGTACGCCGTGCGACCCTGCAAAAGGGCCCTGCGGTGGAGCTCCCCATGGAGCCACGAAACGTGCAAAGAGTGTACCGACTGGGGTGCGGGTACGCCATGCGGGCCCTGCAGTTGGAGCCTTCGGTGGACCTTCCTTCGGGGCCACGAAACGTGTGAGGGCTGTGCCGAATCGGGCGCGGGTACGCCATGCGGACCCTGCCGCTAGGGCCTTCGGTGGGGCTCCCTATAGGGCCACGAAACGCGTGAGGGGTGTGCCGAATCGGTTGCGGCCGCTAGGGGCTTCGGTGGAGCTTCCTATGGGGCCACGAAACGTGTGAGGGTTGTGCCGAATCGGGTGCGGGTACGCTATGCGGGCTCTGCCGCTGGGAGCTCCCTAGGGTCCCTATGAGACCACGAAGCGTCTGATGGGGCCACGAAGGATACGGTTATGCCAAGCGGGCCTTCGTTGGACCTTCCATCGGGGCCACGAAACGTGTGAGAGGTGCGCTGAACTGGGTGCGGGTACGCCATGCGGGCCTTGCCGCTAGGGCCTTCGGTGGACCTTCCTTCGGGGCCACGAAACGTGTGAGGGCTGTGCCGAATCGGGCGCGGGTACGCCATGCGGGCCCTGCCGCAGGGGGCCTTCGGTGGAGCCCCCTATAGAGCCACGAAACGTGTGACAGGTGTGCCGAATCGGGTGCGGGAACGCCATGCGGGCCCTGCCGCTGAGGCCTTCGGTGAAGCCCCCTATGAGGCCACGAAACGGATGAGGGGTGTGCTCAGTCGGGTACGGGCAGTCATACGAACCCTGCCGCTGGGGCCTCCGGTGGAACACCAAGCACCACCTAATGGTTTGCAAAAGCGCAAAGAAACGAACAGCAATGCAAAGCAATGCAAAGCAATGCAAGGCAATGCAAAGCAACGCAGAGCCATGCAATGCAATGCAATGCGATTGCAATGCAACGGAGGGGTGGGGTAATGCGATTGCAATGCAATGCGATTGCAATGCAATGAAATGCGATTGCAATGCAACGGGGCGGAAGGGACGGGCGGGAACGGGGCTGCTGGAACCGCACAGGAGCCTTTCAATGGGGCGGCGACGGACGGGAACAGGGCCGCCCGGGCCGCAAACGTGCCCAGTTCCTTAGAAGGCAAGTGAGGATCCCTGCGTGCAAGCACTGCTTCTATGGGGGGAACGGCGCCTGCAGCGGGCTTCTTCAGAGCCTCGCAAACTGCCGACGACCAACTGCCCCCTCACTCTTATCCGCAATTCCGGGGTGCTACGTGCTCTGCCAACGGCAATCGCGGATAGCACATGTCATTAGATCAGGTTGCGCCCGATTGCAATCTTGTTCCACGCTCATCTTCTCACTTACAAGGTGCCCCGCAAAGGCCTGAGGGAGCCCCAAGCTGGCCAGAGCGCTCCCGCCCGACGGGCAATGCGGCGGAGCAGATGGCGAGGGAGGAGGGCAGATGAAGGACGGGAGGAAGAGGAGGAGGAGGAGGAGGAGGAAGATGAAGGGTTATTTCGGGTTCCTTGTGGCAGCGTTTCGACCGTGCACTTGAGTGGCCCTTCCCCAGTGGGACACTTGGCGCGGGCCCATCTGGGGCCCCTCGATCGCGGCACGAATAAAGGGGGCGCGGGGGCTAAGGATTCCACGACCACGACCACGACCACGACCACGACGACTACGACGACGGCGGCGACGACGACGACGACGACTGACGCCCCCTCACCCCCATTCGACTCGAGGACGTGGTCGAGCGTGGCCAGCCGAGGGGGGGGGGGGAATTCTGGTTTCCACCTCTGTCCTGCCTCCTGCTCGCCACGGGCGCCTCAGCTGCAGAACGATCTGGGCCTGCCGCTCCAGCTGCTCCTGTTGGAAGAGGGAGGGGTTCGGGAGGGGGCGGGGGGAGGGAGACAGGGAGTGGCATGAAGGGTAGCCAAGGGGAGAGAAAGACAGAGAGAGAGAGAGAGAGAGTGAAAGACAGAGAGAGAGAGGGGGAGAGAAAGAGAGAAAGAGAGGGAGAAAGAGAGAAAGAGAGAATGTGAGAGAGAGGGAGAATATTCCCTATCTATAAATAGATGTACGCATGTAAGCGTAATGACATTTCTAAGCATACACGTGTACAAGCAATCATACACATAGGGAGAGTGAGAAAAGGAGAGAGAGAGAGAGAGATCCAAAAAAAGGGAAAACAAAAACAAAGATAATGAGGCAGAGAAATGCGAAAAGAGCAACACATCTCGCAGCGATTTGGGAGTGTCCGTCGGGGCGCCGGGCGGCAAGCGGCACGCGCTCCCTCCAAGACGTCTGCAGGAGTGCCCGAGAGAGCTCCAAAGGCCCAACAGGGCCCAAGGAAGCGATTTTGACGTTATGTATTGCAAAGGTTTTTGCTCGCGCGCGCAGCCTCTCCCTCCTCCGGCCCTCTGGGTTCAAGGCCCCATGCGGGGCCAGCTTTTTGGCGTGGACGGGCGGGGCCATATGCTCGCTGCCCCGCCGAGGCTCGGCCAGGCATTCTGAGGAGTGCTGGGAAGTGGCAGGGCCAGGACCCCCCCTCCGAAGTGGGCGGCGACCAGAGGGGTCGCGCGGCCCGCAGGTGCAATGGTGAGACCGCTGCATGGCCTCAAGCGCACGCTGGCCATGGCCGCGGGCGCAGCGCTGACGCGGCTCGACGCGTCGCTCGGCGCAGGACTGCACGCCAGCTTCACCGCTGCGGCCACGGCCTCGGGGGCCGAAGATGGCCGCGCGCGGGCAGACCCGGGCAAGAGCGACCCGGGCGACGAGGAGGAGCATGAGGGGCGGCCCAGCCATGACAGCCGGCCCAGCCATGACAGCCAGCCCAGCTACTCCGACGAGGGCGGCGCGACGCCACTGGCCATCGAGGAGTCTGCGGCAGAGCCCGGACCACTCTCGGCGGCAGCGGCCCTGGCTCTCCTGGGGCCCCGGGCCACGGATCCGCCCACAGCCAGGGCCGTCCTGGGCAAGCGCCCCCAACCAACTGGCGAGTACGAGTACGACTACCAGGGCCACTACCACGCGGACGCCAGCCCAGGGCGCCCACGCAGCCACCTCCCAGCGAGGCCACCAGGGCGGACCCAGAGCAGAGGGAGGGCGCTACCACAGGAGGAGAGGAGGCGCAAGAGGCCAGCCCGCCCCCGCCACCCCCGAGCGCGCCCAACGCGTCGGCGGCACGAGGCAAGGGAGACGAGCACCACCATGGGAGCGCAGCTCAGCATGTCGCGAAACAACGCGTGGGTCGAGGCGGCACAGAAGTGGCTCGGCGAGAAGGTTGGGCGCGCACTAGGCGCTGTGCTACACCCGCTCATCTACTTCCTGATGGGGATGGTCGATGCCACGGGCCGCCACTTGTTCGGCGAGCCCTGGGCGAAGCTGCAGCGGGCGGCCGCGGGACTCGTGGTGCTCGGGATGGCCACTGTTTATGGCTCCGTCGTCTGCATCGCTAGGCGTATGCTTCGCCCATCGCAAAGGCGTCGAGGGGCCTCGCTGGCGACGGCAAGACAGAACATGATGTCAAAGTGGCCTTGGAAGGCGACCTATCCTTGGCTCTGTCCTGACACGGCCCATCAGAGGTCGAAGCAGCGGGCAAAGCCCACGTGGAGAACGAGGTCCGAGCGGGAGGGGGCATCGCTGAGAAAATGATGCCCAACGACGCCATCTCCAAGTCGGGCGGATCCGCGGCCCGCTTGCAGCAGGAGCCGCTCAAGGGCAGCCGCCTCACGCGGCATGGGTGCGTCTACCGCTCCAACGAGGTGAAGGGCAGCCCCCATCGCTACCTCAAGGACGACCTCGAGGCGACAAAGGACGAGGAGGGAAGCGGGATGTTGCACCTCTAGGCGGCCATCCCGTCCGCCCTGCCAGAAGGCGAGATGAACCTTGTCCAGCACCCGGTCAACTCCAGCACCCAGACCAACATGTCGGACATGGCCAGACTCACACCCACGGGCCGGCCGCGCCTACACGGGTAGCCGGGACTGCTTTATCTGGATGTGCTGAAGTGCTGGCAGTCTCTGCAGGCGCATGCTCAGGGGCTGCGCCAGAAAGCGCTGGAGACATCCAAGGCACGGCAAGGGAAGTGGGAAAACAGACGAGATGGACCCCAACTCGGAGACCGAGTCGGAGCCCGGCGACGACATCTGCGAGGCAGACAGGATCGCCTTTCTCAGCAAGGGGGGCAGGCAGGTCTTGTGCCCCAAGGGTTGCAGACACTCAGCCCGCCAGGATCCAGTCTACCTGATGGCGAAGGACGCGGCGATCTCGGACGTGCGCGACGCCCCGGAGGTGGGCGGCACTCGCACCGACTCGCACCTTTCGAGCGCGCTCCTTCCACGCGCAGACCGACGAAGCGCAGGCCGCGCAGAGGAAGTGCGCTCGGGTCCAGTGCTTCAGGGGGAGGGCCATGGAGAAAGACAAGTTCCCCCTCTGCGCAACGTCCGCGGCGGCCGATCGCGTCGCGGCCTGGCGCCGCCGTTCCAATGCCCGGGGGCCCGAGGAGGAGAAGGGGCCTAACTCGCGCCAGGCCGAAGAGCAGGAAGTTCGCTGGGCGCGCGAGGATCGCCCCCAGGCGAGCGCGAGGGCCAGGAAGGCAGTCCCGCTAAGGCGACAGCAGACTCGGCACGGCTGATCCACGCGAGCGACCCCTTGGCCGACGCGACCGCGAGCTGGGACGCGACTACTTCAGCGTCGCCCTCTGCCCCAGCTTGCAGGGGAAGGACGCGTTCCACGGCCTTCGGTCGGAGGGGGCAAAATTCGAGGCCGCTGCTCCGCTCCATCAAATTCCCGACCAACATCACGAACGGCATTGCCTGCGTCTGCGCAGCCTTCCAGCGTGGGAGGCGGGGCCACATCCGCCTCCTGGACTACGGCAGGTTCGTGTCGTGCCGACCCCAGCGTTGGTTTTTGACACCGCAGGGATCGTTCAACCTTGAACGATCGGCCGCTGCCGCAAGGTCCGATCGTTCAACATCGATCGATTCTGGGTCGCCGGCGGCGTTCAACCTTGAACGCCCGCGCTGGGGTCGCCGCTGGTCGACACGACGCAAACCTACCGTACTGCCTCAGCCGCGCAAACTCCCCGAACACGTCGGAGGCGGACATGGACAGCTTCGCGCCGCCAAAGGACCGCAAGCTCGAGGCGCGGCCTCGACGCGCGCCCACTCCCCAGCGCTGGCCCCAACACGCCAAGCGGGAAGCTGGGGGGCGGGCGAGCTTCCACGGGCAAGAGCACTACGACCAACAGGTCAAGGCGGCAGAGCCGCTGCAGAAGGTGAACGACGAGGCCGACCACGCGTGGCCCCCCAACGCCATCCGCGACATTTGGGCGGAGCTGAGAGGCAGGCGGCGCGAGGAGCTGCAGACGAAGAGAGCCAAGATGCCGGGGATCACGGGGGGCGAGAGCCCGTCGCGGGATACGATTCGCTTCGCGCGCACGTCTCCCAGCAGCGCCGCGGGCCCACGGCCGCGGGCGAAGATGCCCACGCATCCCCTCGACGTCCGAAGTCATCGCAACTGCGCTGAGCCTGCGATGCAGCGCGGACCACGCACACGACATGGCCGAGGGAGAGGCCGTCACCAAGCGGAGCGAGGCCAACTCGCAGGAAGTGGCCGAGCGCGCGGCCAAGACGGCGCTGCCGCGGGTCAAGGGGGCCCGCAAGAGCGGGGAAGGGGAGCGCGGAGGGGGGCGGAGCATCAGCGCGAGGGGTCAGCTACGGAGAGGGAGACGCCGACGGATGCGGGAGAGCGAACCCTACTCGCGCGGGGGAAGTCGAGGGTGAGCCACAGTCCAAGCGCGAAGACGCGGCAGCGGGGGCCCACTACGATTTTCTTCAAGAACACACGGAGCACTACGCAGGAATGGTAGGCGAGCTGGTGAGACGGGGGGGGGGCGCCGTGCTCGAGGGGGCGGGGTCACTCGAGAGAGCCGTGGCGGCGCTCGGGGGGATCTGGTGGAAAAGGCACGGCTACCATTTGAAGGACATATGCCACACAAATGTGCAGCAGCTCGTAAATGGCGCACTACCGGAGCATGATCAGAAGGTGGCCAAGGAAGAGGCTCGGACGAGGTTCCGAGGCGTGCCGACCCGACTCAAGGACCCGCCGCATCCCAGCGCGAATGACCACCTCGACGAGGTCACGAATGCACTCTGGAAAGACCCCTCCAAGGGAGGGTCCTGATCTGCACCAACGTCTACAAGCACTTGCTGAGCGTCACGATGGCGAGGGTGCCAAGGCAGGACCCGGATCGCCCTATGAGCGACAAGGGCAGGCTGATATGGAGCGGCAAGGTACCCTAACAGAAGTGCCGAGGAAGACCACCCCCCAGCGGACCAGCCGAGGCATGAGGATCTGGCTTGCATCTTCCTGCGGTGGAAGGCCCGGCTGCCGGACTTCGAGATATACCTGGCCAAGAAGGGCGTCAAGAACGCGTTCAGGCGGGCGGTGATGCACGAGATGGACGCCTGCACCTTCGGCGCGGACCTCGAGGGAGGCAGGTGGTGCGCGGCAGCGCTCGCCGCGGCGGCCCGCGTGGCCCTGGCGTTCGGTTGGACGGGCAGCCCAGGTGAGTGGGCGAACTGGGCGCGGGTGGCCAAGCGCCATCACACAGCCAACCGCCCGGCCGACGCGCGGTGGGACGACGCCGCCCCATTTCCACAGTTCCTTTCGGATGGACGACCAGGTGCTCGCGGTGCCGGGCGTCGGCGCGCGGGCGGCGCAGAGCGGCGCCGCAGCCCTGGGGGGCACCCGAACCCGCCTGGGGGGGGGGGGGCGCGGCGATAGAGGAGAAGGACCCGGAAGAAGGAGGCTGGGAGACCGCGAAGATCTGCTGGAGGATCGAGATGCTCGAATCGAAGATC